CATGCCTTGAATTTGCACCAGGGATGGTCAAGGCATTCTTATACCCTAAACAAGGCTATGTGCCTAAGGTGCCCACCATGATTCCGAGGCCTATTGTGCTACAGGCTTTTTGTCCTCCACCGTTTTCTTCTCCGGACCAGGAAAGATTGAACCTTTTATGCCCAGTGAGAGCACTGGACAATTATGTGCATCGGACTTCTGCTTTTAGGAGATCTGATCAGTTATTTGTCTGCTTTGGATCTCCCAAGAGGGGTCTTCCTGCTTCAAAGCAGACAGTTAGCAAGTGGATAGTTGAGGCTATTTCTCTGGCTTATGAGTCTTCTGGCCTGCCTTGCCCTTTGGCGGTCAGGGCCCATTCTACTAGGAGTATGGCGGCTTCTAAAGCTCTCTTATCTGGAGTCTCTCTTCAAGATGTTTGTGATGCGGCGGGTTGGTCCTCTCCTCTCACATTTGTCAGGTTTTATAGCCTGGACCTGGAGGCTGCCCCAGGTTCACATGTGCTTAATAATGCTTAGGGTGGTGTGACAACAGGCTGACACTCAGGCATTTGAAAGTCTGGCGATTTGGGTATTCTCGTTCCCAAAAGCGTAACAGTGACGCATCGCGAGTTCCCTCGATAGGGAACGTCTCAGGTTACGTCTGTAACCATAGTTCCCTGAGAAGGGAACGAGACGATGCGTCACCCTGCCATACTTCCTGCATCCCTGTATCGGCTTGCTTCGGCAATTTCTGAAGCTAATGCCGGTTTGCACCGGGTGCTCTTTTATCATTTCCTGGTCATGACGTCATCCGCCCATGACGGTCATGTTTCCTATTGGACTAGTTGACATAGATGCTTCAGACGCAGTCACGCTGGAGGCGTTCCCAAAAGCGTAACAGTGACGCATCGTCTCGTTCCCTTCTCAGGGAACTATGGTTACAGACGTAACCTGAGACGTTTTGTGTATTTGCATTTTTTTTTATTTAAACTGACTATACAAAGTAGAACACACAAGTTTCTTTTTTCAATGTAATTTTTAAAAAGGCTTTTTTTTAAAGTCGTAAGATATTGTTAAATTCCATAACTAATAATAGACAATAATGTCTATGAAGTGTAATATTTATATGTAACTGAATGTGCATAAACTGGAATAATCTCCTTCAATGTTTCAAACTTACATCTTGATTGCAAAACATGCGTTTAAATGCGCACAGGTGTCATACTATTCCTGTGTGCATTGTTGCTGTTTAAGTAAATACTTTTAAATAATGATTTACAAAGAAATTTCATTCTATTAATTTAATATTTAGGACTTATATTTAAGCCCTAGTTTAAATTATTGATCGAGAAATTATTTTTAAGAGAGCGGAAGTAATATATATTTCTCTGACGGAAGAGAAAGAAATTTTATTTGCATGCTGTTTTGCTGTCAGAATACGATATGTTATGCTCTCCAT